CCAGATCACCCCTGGGATGCAGCAAGAGCAAGCACAGCCACAACACTCTGTGTGTGCTGCCAAGGGCATAGGATGCCTCCACCCACAGCAAGACTGATACCGGCCCCTGCAGGGCGCACACTGCTCCACTCCATCCAGGAGCAATTCCCTGCAAAGGGAATTGATGCTGAAAGCCAGTCGGGGAAGTAACCACCATCTTCTCCCACCCAGTGATGCCCAGACAGAGGGGCCTCAGAGGAAAAGCACACATCTGCCCTCCTCCGGGGAGCAGTGGCTGTGCACCATGAATTCATAACACGCCAATCATAGGGCTCCGGGAGCCTGGTTAATACAGGCAGCTACCAGGAGACAGACTGACAGTGGCTGGCTGCAAGTGTAGGACGCAGGGTGGTGATCAGCATAAGCCCCACATGCAGCATCTAAACCTCTTCCAAACCAGGTTCCTGTTCACTAGGACGAGCATCTTTTACTCCTCAGCCTACTGGCAGAGAGAAAGAGGGGCCAGGCCTGCCGGCCGGTCAGACAGCTGGGCCTCCTGCTATCCCTCATGCCTCACCCCGGAAATAACAGGTACAGGTTAATGCACCAGGTAAAAACCATACGTCCTTTTTTATTGTTAAGTCATAAAGAGGTATCAAAATTAAAAGAGGAAAATTACAGGGGACTTAACAGAACTACGATGAGAGCAGGGATGTGGCAGGAGACAACACCATGAACACAGGGGGCGGGCAGTGAGGAGGAGGCGGGGGAGGGGCCAGTGACAGGCTCAAATATCAGATGGGCACCTTGCCGGGGGCTTCACTGGGTGCTTAGGAGTCATCTTCGCCATTAGCGCTGTCTCTGTCGTCCTCTCCTTCTTCTGCCTCCTTCTCATCACCCTTGATGGACTCCAGCTATGAGAGGGGACAGGGATGTGGAGGGGGGGGCGGGATTAGAGACAGGGACGCCCGCCCCTACTCCCGCTCTCTTGGACCCCCAGGTTCATACCTGGTCGTCACCCCGATCCTCATTATCATCATCATCCAGTAGATCCCCCTCCTCGGCAGAGTCATCTGCCCCTGCCTCAGACTCCAGCTTTACATTGCTCTCCTCCTTCTTCATGGAGCTGCTGCTCTGCTCCTCCTCAGACTTGTCGTTCTTCTGCTCTGCAGGGGACAAGAGAAGAGGGGCACATCAGGGGAACATTCTGCCTCCTAGAGACTATAGAGTCTTTCGCGCAGCTGCTCCAGAGGGAAGAAAGAGCTCCCTCCCCCTCCAGATGAAAGAAAAAGCTTCCCTCATCCCACTGCCCCCTGGATGGGGTGGTCCCAAGGTTCCCAAATAGGAGCCCCACACCCATCACCGCCCGCCCTCTCACCCGTCTGTTTACTTTGATCCTTCTCGATCTTTTCCAGGCTCTCCAGCAGGGAATCCACTTTCTGTTTGATCTGGGTTAGCTCCTTCTTAATGGTCTGGAGATCATCACCTTTCACTGAAAGCCAAGAGGACCAGGGCAGAGATCAGTCTGTGGGCCCTGATGGGTTTGAGGCCCAACCTAACAAAGATACAGACTACTCCATATCCCCTTCCACTCCCAGGGCCTGAGACTAAGACCTACATGCCAACACAAGCAAGAAGCAGATGCACTACAAACAACACGTGGCCCAAGGTAGACCTGCCTACTTGTCCTATAGGGAAGAGCATAGGATGCATGAGACACGGCTGCCCCCTTCCATCAGTGAGTTAGGGCTCCAGCAAGGGAACAGAGGACTGGGGGGTAGGGGGGAAGAGGGGGTGCACTGTGTCCCACCACCCCCACTCCCCAGAAGCAGCACCATGGGTCTGACACGTACATTTACCAGACTTGGAGGACGATCCCCGCTGGCCACTCTTGGAGTTGAAGCCACTCTTGCCACGGCGGGAGGTATTGCCAGAGACACGCTGGCGTTTTGAGGGCACCACCGCTCGGGCGATGGGGGGAGGTGGGGGCACACGTGCCGGGTAGCTGTACATCCTAGGAGCAGTGGAAGAGATCAGGGTGAGTCCCCAGCCCTCTACTGCTAGCATGCAAATGCCCCAGAAGAGTAAGCACCCCAGGCCCAAAAGCACCTGGGAAGGCTACTCACTGCCCTTCAGAGGGCCAATGGCACTGCAGCTCCCACATGGGAATCAACGGCTCCACCCCCTTCCCCCTGGGCTGTAGCTCACCAAAATACCTGCAGTATGCAATGACAGTGACATACCTGTCATAGTAATCCCGCTGAAAGTCATAGTCCAGATCAAAGGAAGACCTGAAAGAGAGAACCCAGGCAATGGGATCAGGAGGGGCAGGCGCCCTGGAGTAGGGGAAGAGGTGGGGAGGGACCCAACTGAGAAGGTGAGGAACATGGGTGCCAAGCACCACACCACCTCCCATGGAGGGAGGGCAGAGCATCCCAGACTCCCCAGACTGCCAGTGCAGGTCACACGCACAGCATCTGTGCTGCAGGCAGATGAGGCAGCTTTATTGGGCAAGCCCACCAGTGCCTGCCTCTGCACCTGCCTCTGCCCCTGCATGCTCCCTGGCACTGACTGAGGTGAGGTGGCATAGGCCTGGGCCGCCACTCCCCAGTCCCAGGTAGCCAGGAGTCACAGCCCAGGATAGGGGCTGAGTGGCCAGGATATGCTCCCCCAGCGGAGATACCTCCAGCAAGCTGCCTCCCAACAGTCCCTCCCCACCTCTGGGAGACAGAAAGAGAGGAGGTGCCCACGCACAGCACCAACGCGATATAGAAAACATAACGGTCCCGACCTGACTAGAGGGGACGGAGAAGGTGGTGCAGCTACTGACCCGTACATCTCCGCCGCCGATCGCTTCACACCCGCCTTGCCTCGATTCACCTTCGGCTCGGCTGCCAGGTTTATGTCTGAGGAAAAAAAGAGATGGGCGTGCAATGAGGGAGCAGCCCCATTCCTTACTAGTGCCAGAGCCATAGTATTGTGACCAAACAGGGTTTGGGTGGGGAACAGGCAACATCACAGCACACAGAAGGTCAAACCCGTCCCCCCAGTCCGAGCTCCCAACTCATTTACTTCTGTTCAATTTGCTTCCTCACTGCCAACAGCTCCTCCCATATCATGTGAGCGCATGGCACAGGGTGGCATGTGCTCTGTGCATAGGGGTGGAGGCCAAGGCTCACCCAATACCTAGCGAGCATCTTGCCATCTGCAGACTACACAGGCCAGGTCAGAGCCATGGCCAGGGGACACTTCCTGATGACCTCCACTGCCTCTGGCCTAAGTGTTCACAATGGGACACAAACAGGGCAGCGTGCACTTCTGGGGGAGGCTGAATGAGAGCAGGCCAGGGCTAAACTTGTCCTGTGTGGGGTAAAGGCATCTGGTCCAGGGTAGTGCCACAGCTGCACACTCACCGAGAACCCAACTCACAATTGCCTGCCATCCCTGAAGTACAGGCCAGGCGCACCTCAGGGACACTTACCTAGGACCTGGCCAGCAATCATCCTGCCATCCTCCCCCGCCACAGCTGCGCGGGCATTGCGTTCATTGACATACTGCACGAAGGCAAAGCCCTTGTGCACGGAGCAGCCCACGATCTTGCCATACTTGGAGAAGATGGCCTCCACATCGCTCTTCTTCACCACCAGCGTGTTGAGGTTCCCGATGAAGACACGCGAGTTCATGGAGCGTGGGTCTGTCTTGTTGGTGACGTTGCTAGCCATGGCTCACGTGCAGCAAGGACCTGCCGGGGCAGGCGTATCAGGCAAGGGGCAGCCATGGTGGTTAGAAGGTCAGAAGTGTCCCCCCCCAGCCACCCCCTCCTCCCAATTTTGTTCCCAGCATCATCTGCCCCAGGGACTCAAGTGCTTCAGGATCACAAGGGACCAATCACAGAGCCTCCCACTGCAATGCATAGCAACACCCGCTGTACAAAAGAACAACATGCCCATGGCTATACAGTGATGCAGGGCAAACCCAGAAATTCTCCACTGGCTTTGGGTACAGGCTCCAGAGCACCTGGAGGTGCAAAAGTGAGGGTAAGAATCAAAAGGGTTGGAGAAGAGGGGGTCCAACACCCCAGCTTAAGACACGCTTCTAGGTGGTGAGAGAAGGCCCTTGTCCAGGTCCTGGGTTCGGGCTCCCCACCACGACTACAGCCCACACCAGAGTCAGCCAGCCCCACTCTGAATGGAAGCTGACAGACACCTGAGAGGAAAACTAGAAAACCCTTGAGACCAGCAGGCCTCAGGAAGCTGGCCCCACTGCCACTCCCAGGGGCCAAACCATGGGCTGGAGCACCAGGGCCTCCCCCACACTTCAAGTCTAGTTGGCATTTTCAAAGGATCCCATCTGGCAATCACAACCTCAACCCTGCTAAGGGCACTCAGCGTGCATGAGTGCCTGATCTTTTCCTGAACCCTGACAGGTCCTGGCCTCAAGGACTCCTTGAAGCAGGGAGTTCCACAGGCTGCAGTACCTACACAACACCACAGTGCCTATCGGCACTGTACCTGCTGCTTATCCTTCCCAGCTAGCCCCTTTTGTCCTAAAACAAACTGCAAATAGCAGCTCCTGATCAACCTGCTCTATCTTGCCCATCTCACTAATCCCCTCCCATCCTCCCCTCGCCAGCAAGAACCTCAGCCTTGTCACCGTCAGAAGAGGGCAGACCTGCCATCCAAGGCCCCTCGGCTCCTGCCACCCACATTCCCCCCATCCAGCCACAAGGGACCAGGCCCAGGCACCGTGACATTGCTGTAGCACCTCATGGACCCACGCACCTTCCCAGCCACACTGCAGACACACAAGGCAGCCACGAAAATGCAACAGTGTACTGTCTCTGAAGGCACTCGACCCTGCAGCCCTTGCTGAGAAGGGACAGGGAGAACACCCAATGGGCATGGGGTGCAGATGCACTGCGGACAACGGTCACATGACCATGAAGTCATACTGCACAGACTTAGAGCATGGCTTTGAGACACCAAACAGGCTGCACCCCAGGAGAGCCGAAGGAGGGTCTGGGAGGGACAGAGTGCCAGCCTACCTCCTCAGGGTCTCACTCGGCCTTTACACTACACTGTCCTCAGAAGGGACAGGCCGACGGAGAAAAAGCCATTTGACCCTCTCCACAAAGGCAGGCAGTAGGGAGGGGGAGGGGTTACAGCTTCCTCCCTTCAGCAGGCTAGATGAAGCATCTCCCAGGAACTTGGGAGCCTGTCAACACAGTCTCCTGTCCCGAGATGCTGGACTGTAACTTGGTATTCAAAGGGGCCTGAGCAGCGCTGTGGGAGGGAAGCTTGGGAGCTGAAAGAGAAAAGGCTACAGGGCAAGACTGAATGCCATCTCCAGAGCGTGGTGAAGACTCAAGAGCCAGAAGACCAGGAGCACAGCATTGAGTACTACGGACAAATTGTTTCTTCCTCACTGGTGGCTCAAGCTCCTGCTGCTTTTGCAGACACGGCACGGAAACACAGAAAGCCTTCTAGACATATGCTGTTCCTGCACACGGCTCCAGGCCTGACCTGCCATCCCACTACAAGGGACAGCATGCTTCTATGCACTGTTCTAGGTCTCATGTGGTGTCCTGTGCTCAGAGATGGTTTCCTCACTGGGGAAAGGGAGGGGGAAGCAGGCAGGACATTCACAGGAGGCGGAAGGCTCCCCTTTAGCAGGAGACCAGCCTGCCCAAAGGCAGGGGAACAAGACTCCCATGGCTTTTTTTCCTCCTCTGTCCAGGTTAAACCCAGATGTCTTCCTGAAGCACTGCTCACGGCACGTGGGGCACCAGCTCTGCAGAGCCGCTGCGGTTCCCATAGCCGGGCCTTCCCTGTGGGGTCTATTCTCCCAGCACTAAGGCCACAGCACCAGGGCTTCCACCACGCTCCTACACAGCTCTGCCAGCCAAGGTGACAGTCGTGACATGGTGCTTCTAACCCTAAACCAGGCCTGCAGTATAACACAGGATCCTTGTGCTGGGGACTCCTCCATGCCTGGGCCTGTGGCTCTGGTGGCCAAAGCTCACAGTGAAACCTACTGGCCTCACACCTCTTACCATCGCCTGGGATGGGTTTGTATCTGCTCCACGGGCGGTTCCATTGGCTGTTGCTGCCGCTCCAGGCCAGGTGTCCGTGGCGTGGTGGTGGGTTGTTTTGAGGGAAGGACGGCGTAGAGGAAGAGAGCAGGAGGAGGGTTTTGGGGGCACAAGAGGAGGGGGCTGTTGGGGAAGGGCCATCGCCACCACGGGCGATCAGCACCACAGACATCATACGGCAGCAAGTTTAAAAATGGCACAAACGAAAGATTAAAAAATAAAAAAATAAAAAAAACAAAAGAAAAAATAAAAATACAGACTTCCAGAGACGCTCTAAAACAGTTCAGGAGAAACCAGGTCCCACTCTCAGCAGTCAAGGGGGGAAAAAGAGTTAGCGTGATCAATCCACTTTAAAAATGCAAAAACCTTGTTGTCTCTCACAAAGGGTAAAAACCCAGCTCAGTCAGGAACACTCAGAAAAACGCGATTTCATCTGGTTAAAAATCAGCAGTGTCATTTATCATCACCATCAGTAATATATCAGCATAGTAAAGTCATCAGCATTATAGTAGTATAATAGTAATAGTAACTAGCAACAACAATAAAAAGGAAATCAGTGGAAAGGCAGGAAAAATGGAAAAAAATGTGGAATAACTTACTGTAGCTGAAGATCAAAAAAATCTCGCTGTAAAAAAACAAAAATAAAAATAGCCCAGATTAGAAAAACGGGAGGTGCCGAAAGGTCAAGTCAGCAACGATCATTTCTGTTCTCTCCCTCTCTCTCGCGCTCTGTGGTTACCACAGAGCCACGTGGGGAGAGCTCTTGGTAGGAGACAATCAAAGCCCTTTGCACACCACCACTGCACTCTAAAAATACCCGAGAGGTCAGCTCATGAGGGGCTAAAAGGCTCCTCCTCTCTAACCCAGCTGCTGCAGAAAAAAATAGACACTTTGCAAAATTACATCTTAAATCCAGCTCCAGCGTGGCGCGGGGAGCGCTGAGCCCCGGGGGCACTGTTAAAAGGGCTCTATAAAATGGGGAGGTGCGTGTGTGGGGGGGAGGGGGTTAACACGAAGCTGAGCTCCAGTGAGGAGGGATGGGGTTTCGCCTCGCTGCCCTGTGGAAGGAGAAGGGACAGGTTGAGTCAGGGTTCCTCGGAAACGCTGCACGCCCCTCCCGCGCCCCCGCCCCGAGAAAGGCCTGCCTGCCTCCAGGGG